AATATGACATACACTGTATAGTACTGAGGAAAATAGATGTGAAACTAAAAAGCCGTTGTTTTTTGCAAAAAAAGGTCCAAACCCAGACGTGTTATTACACATTAGCTTATTAGCTTAAATAACAGATCAAAATACATACGTAACTGATGGAATCTACTTGGTAGACTGTGTAGAGGTGTTGTGTAATTTTTAAAATGTCTTCTTGAAATTCCTTAACCATTTTTTTCGCGTATTTTCAATGAGATCAAAGTTTTTGCGTCTATAAGAACTATTTGAAAGTACAAACAATTCTCAATGGCCATTTTATAACGCTCATTTCTTGACAGATAAAATAAATGATTTCCGTTGTTGCCAAGATGTACCTTTTTTTTGGAGAAATACGTAATTAGAAATGAGGTTATTTGCAAAATAAAAGTATTAATTTACTGTAAATGGCTTCTTTTAGGAAAAGTTGTCCCACTATTCACCGAAAACTAGATGAAATTTTGAACAGTATGTGTCTAAACGCGTGACATAAAAAATACAAAAGGTACCAGCGGTCCTTGCATATAAAAATACCCAACGTCGATTCGTCGATTGTGGTCCAAATCGTCAGGTTCCACCCAACATATCATCGTCCAACATTATAGTTAAATAAAGATCAACGACCATTTTATCAAATCATCAAAAAGCTTGCAAATTTTTTTATTGTTTTCATTATTTACTGATTTGCAACAGCTACTTTTTCAGTCATTTCTCATATATATCACATTTAATTAGGTATATTTTGTAACATCAGATTCACTTTAAATAATTCTTCAAGTACATACATACAAAAAAGTAAATAGATTATAACTATAATATAGAAAAAACAATAACCGAAGTACTTTTGTGAAGGGCATAAGGCATTCTTCAAAAAAGTCTATTTAGCTAACGTTATCGTAGGGCACAAGGTGGATTCAGTACAGTAAAACATGCCGGCCACACCTCCAAATCGCATTTTCATGACAATACTGTGCCGATTGCACATTTTTGCGCTAGTAGATAAGTAAGAATTTGACAAACTAAATTAAGGTATATTACTATTGGCAACATCGCAACTAGATGGAGAGAATATGACAGTGACGGTGGTGTAGTGATGGGAATAGTTATGTGAAATAAAAGAAATGACTACTTAACGATGAACTATTTTCATCATTAAAATAATGCCAAATTGCACTATTGCGATGAACAGTGTCACAGTAACTTACAGTGTATGTTATATTCATGTAATTTTGAACAATCTTTTGTATAAACAAGAAGAAAACAGCTCATAAAGCAGTATTCTATACCACAGTCTTAGCACCCAAAATGCAACATTTTGAAGATCTATAAAATAACAAGTAGAGGGTTCCTTAAAGAAAAAATGATATTTTCGTGCAAGTCCTAATCGTTCATTTTAAAATAAGAAATGAAATATATGCCCTAAAGTGCCTAAAGTATAGTTCAGCCGCCGTTTCTTCATTTCGGGTGAAAGTAGCAGTAGAAGATGTAGTGGAAGCGAAGCTTGGCAGCAAGGCCGCCAGTTGGGTCGAGGCCAGAAATCGAACCCGTGAGCCTTCGAGTTGATGTGCTAGGCTCGATGCCTTAACATACCGGATGCCTAGCTCACCTTTGTATCTGCAGAAGTATTGCGTAAAAAATCGATATGTCATTTAAAATTGGCAAAATGTCAACTTAAGTAGTAAGTAGTCGCTAGTCTATTCTGCTTCTCCTCGCGATGAGCGCCACGTATAGTGGATGGCTCATCGACCATCTTGCCTCCAAACTTCGTCAGCAAGCATGTCCTAGCAACCTGCCGAGATAGAGTATACTTGCGAATATGGTGTGAGGAAAAAAATATGATCGAGTTTCAAGATCTCATCTGGATGCTTGTGTGAATTAGCATCATTGATATTCGATTATTGATATATATGGTATGTAAAAATTCCAGGCCAGAGTAGTAAATGTGGAAAACTCACTTTTATGTCAGTTGTTGTAGTTATAACCACATGACAGCTGATATGCATTTCTGCATTAACGACAGCTGATGTTTCTGGCTTTCCAAATATACAGTACAAAAATGAGCGATCCAAGTTGTACATACCTCTTACATTTTACGAAAATAGTGGGGACGATGGTCTTAAACAATAAGTTATAGTTAAAAAGAACGACAGTATATAGGGTGGACTGTTGCTGTTGATGAGGTGATACTTGAGACGATGTAGTCTATTTTCTCATCCGTTCAGGATGATGCTGATGCGCAACTAGTTTGTATAGATCTCAAGTAATTATATTTGAGACAAGAAGCCACCATCATAGATTAATTAGTACACTAATCATCACTGTGCACTGCCGAGTGCACTCCTGGCCACAGTATAATTCGATATGATAGACCCTGAAATTCTGCTACTTATGCTGTCTTACTATGGTTTTACTGATGCTGCAGTGAATTTGATAAGCTGCTATTTGTCAAATAGAGATCAAAAGGTCTTAACAGCTTCGAAAATGTCACAGTCAACTGCTATAAGTTTTGGTGTTCCTCAAGGTTCCATACTGGGAGCTTTACTTTTCTCTCTCTCTATATATCGGAGTTTCATCAATATGTCCATAATTGCACAATCCATCACTATGCTGATGATACTCAAATTTATTTTAGTTTTTCAACACAAAGATTTTAAAATAGCAGAAGCATTGCTCAACGAAGACTTAACAAGGCTAGTAGGCATGACCTAAAAATTAATCCATCTAAATCTTCAGTTATGGTTTTCGGCTCAAAAAACGAAAGAACATTGATCGAAACGGAAAATAAATTATGTAGTGCATCATACTGCATTTTGAAACAGTTTTATCCACATAGGCAAATAATATCTACTTCAGTAAAGCTGAAACTGTGTGAAACAATAATTATATCAAAGATCAGTTATTTTGACAGTATATATGGCGCAGCTCTATCATATAGTGAACAAAGCAAATTACAGCATATTCAGAATTCGTGCGACAGATTTTCTTGCGCAATACGAAAGTTTGATCATATTTCTCATAAATTTAAGGATCTTGGTATTCTGCAGATTAAAGGCATGCTGAAGCTTCACTTATTGACACTCACACATAAGGTCTTAGCTACCAAACAACCACAATATTTTCATAATAAGTTAACACGATGTAGTGACATAAATCAACTGAATACAAGGAATAGGAATATGTTAGTGATACCCTTACATTTTAAGGCTGTCTGCAAAACACCATTCAGCTACAATGCTATTAAATTATATAATGATCTGCCTGTTACATTGCAAAACTATACATTATTTAATTTTAAAAAGAGGCAAAACTAAAACTACAAGTCGAGGTCTGATGATGAATACAAACTGCTAGAAATATCGACTATTCTTGTAATTGTTCTGTTTTTTTGTGTTGTTAATTATTCAGTAATTATTGAGAATTATGGTTAAATTTTTGTTGGTGGAATGTTTTATTATATATCTTTATTTTTTTTTTGTTAAGGTTAAGGTTAAGTTGAAAAACGCTAATCTTAGCCACACTTCGCGTTTTTTGTACTTTTACTTAGGTACGAAATTAAGCCAATTTATTATTATTATTATTATAGATGTTGCATCATATCAGAACCAAACCAAACAACCTAATGACGTTTATTTAGGCTACATGTGAACATGAAGTGAATGAACGGTAGTTCCAGTGTGATGCTCTTTCGGAAAAATAATGTAATTAATAATGATATAATGCCACTTTTTAAGATACGTAATATGGGCGCGGGCAATTCTTCGAGGAAATAACAAACTAACCAAAGGAAATATGCCCGTAAAATGATTACTGTCTTTCTTTGTGGTTTTATTGGATTCGGCGTACAGGCGCTGCAAAGTATACCCGAGTAGAGGTACGCAAATCAGCTTTGGACAGGATTTTGCTTCCCAGTTGTTGTATAATGCAAACAGCGATGATTCAACGCGGATTAAAAATGCCTAATGAAATATTCAACATGTTCTTTAATTATTGCATAATAAACTACGGGAACTGCAAGAGTGCTGACAACCAACACTGCGAAAACTGAAAGTTCGTCAATTTTGGCCTAACAGACAGTGTTAAAAATCGCTTTAAAATAAACTAACTTCAAAACACTTCAATTTAGATACTTGGAGACATCAAAAACTATAGTTTTTAAGCATTGAATTTACCCATTTTTAGGACCTTTCAGACATCGAATCGCTAATAAGTCGAGAATGGTCAGCTTTAGAGAAAAATTAATGGAGGCTTTTTTTCAGAATGACCCACAAATTTGTCCGGTTAAAAATTGTCTTTTATTCAAAAACAAATTTGGTCTGTGGTGCCGTGCAATTCTCAAAAACTCGGTTGAAAATGATAATGTTTGTGGATCCCAAGTATCTAAATTAAAGTTACTCTAAAGTTGCTCTACAAGACCTCTAAGATTATTTAGAGACTAGTTCTTTAAAGCGATTCCAACCTTATGTTTCAGGTCGAAACTGACGAACTTGTGATTTCTGCGGACTGTATATTGCATCTACGTTACTGAAGAACTGCTGGCTTTAATTTTTCGTGGAAAATTAAGTTTTTTGGAACTGGTTGCAAGGCTATTTTTCTAGGCCGAATACGTTGGTTCATTAAATCGCGTTCTAAATTATTGAGCCGTGTTCATAAAAGGGAAGCATATCCTCGGAAGCATAAGGTAAAAGTATAAGGTCTTACTTCGGAGAAAAAGGTAGAAGGATAAGCATATCCTTGTTTTCATATTCATAATGATTACCTTATACTCGCGAGGATATCCTCCAAGAAGAAGTAAAAGGTTAACTGGTATTTGTATCTCGTGCGACATATCCTGACTTGTTCCAGCTTGTAGTTAACGTGGGAGTTCGTTAACTCAGCATCACTGACAGTTGTACTCCAGAGCTTACACAGACCGTTCCGTATTTTTGCTGGATACAGTGCTATTACAGCAGTACCAAACAAGTATTTTACAACAAGAGAGTTGGCGGAGAGGAAGTTTGTCATTCTCATGATTTCCTTCGTCTTCATCTGGATCTTGCTAAACGAACTCAAAGTCAGGATCACCCTAGCTCTTCGCAACATTATGGAGTACAATACAAGCAATAATTATTTTCGGCAAATGTTCCAACTTTACGCGGCAAACATACTGTAGAATAGGAAACAACATTCAATTATAACTCTCTCTTGTTTTAAAACCTTATTATAATTTATTTCTGCACCTGGAGTAGGATTTCTGAAGGGAGTCATAAGGCATGGCTCAATACCATAACTGTCATCGCCAAGTAGTACAACATTTGCTTTATTTATTAGTTGTGATCTAGTCTGTGAATTTCTCCATATTCTGGAATCATGCATTGATCCACACCAACTGACATCAACACTTGTGAATATCTCTCTAGCATCACAGGTGGCTTGCACATTTAAAGTAGGTTTCCCTTTTCGGTTGATATACCCATCTCCATGGCGAGTTGGTTTCAGGATTCCTATATCTGTACAATCAACTACACCAATTGCTGTCGGAAATTTATACATGCTTTGCCATATCCGCATGACCTCCTTCAGTTCATGGTTGGTAGTTGGAAACTTGATCCATTCGTTTGACTGTGCAACCATGCTGTTCACAACTCTATCCACAGTCCGAGATACCGTTGCTTGACTAACACCAAGTTCCTGACCAATACCTTGTTGATATCCAGGGTCACCGAGATAGCGTAGACATATCTTCATTTTATGAATACATGAAAGTGCTCCTCCTCGAGTTTCCCCATTCTCAACTAAAAATCTGTCCGTAAGCCATTGTACAATTGCTTCGTCGAACCGATATAACTTTTTGAAGTCACGACCAAGTGAAGGTAAACGAGGTTTGTACGTTTTAACATCCACAATTTCCGCCATCATCGTTTGACCATCTCTCGTTACGAAGTTGAGTCTGCTACTGACCACACTCAAAAATAAGGTGAAGATTATAAATATCCTTTTACTTATGTCACTGCTTTGACGGATACGCTTATACTCAAAAAGGAAAAGGATTTACTTCAAATTGGTATAAATACCATTTGGAGGATTTCCTTCAAAATTTGCAAGTACAAGGATATCCTTTGTGTTATGGATACGGCTCATAATTTGTATAGACTCGTACATGCTAGGAATACAACTTTCGATGTGCAGTTTCCGCTCATCAAAACCCTCGAACTCACAAAGAGAAATTAGTGCACGGTTTATAACATTATTTTATTATTTAAGTTTGACATTTAGGTATTTTCCTCGAAAAACACGGGCAGGTCAAATTCTACAAGGGTAGCAACTTCCCAAAGCTTTCCAGGTAAAACGGTCATTTAATTGGCTTGACCGCCATCACAGAGTGTCCCTACTGCTAGCATTCCATATACTTCACCCATACTATATACGGTAATTTAATAGGTGCTTCCGCCACGTTTTGAGCCAGGCAAGCGTTTGAAATTCTCTGTGTTTGCATAACGTGCTCCCTCTCATCTGGGCTCCCTTTTGAACTGGTGAAGGCGAACGCACGTCAGTAAACTTTGCAATGGCATTCTTTTGAACCAACGAGCTATTCAACTGCACACGTTTGTTTGAGGATATACGCGGGACAAAAACGCGGTCATGTGAGAAACGCGTGACAGACAGCTCATGAATTTACAGTGAGAAAATGGTCTCACGAAGCTTACAGACCTCGACAATTTTACAAAAGATGAAGCTGTGAGTAGAAGAATGTTGAATGTCCCTGCGACAGCTACGCTAAGACGAAAACGCAAATTTTATTCGTATACTGAGACACAAACTTTAAAGTTCAGAGCATACTCTGGGAAGCCGGCATAAGGTAAAATTGGTTTGGATGCCAGGATACGAAGGCCACAAATGAAATAGACGGAGTATAAATTAGCTCTAAATGGTGCGTCTGACGTGTGATGAGAACGCGCGTCAAGGAGTCCCTAAGAGATTGGGCCAAGAAAATGTCCCTATATGGTGGAACGGCCAGTTAGGACGATAATGGGTCTACACTGACCTATGAGGCCAAGTGTCAGTTCTGCAGAGAGTATAAGGAAACCCCAGTGCACCTACATGCAAAATACTATGGCCAAGACCATGGAATCTGCTTAAAGGATCAAAGCTGAACACAGTGCTTAAGGCCCGTATCGTCAGTCGTCCCTACAATTGTAGGGCACGTTTATGGCCTCCTAGATTGTCATACTCTTTTCTCGCCTTCAAAAATTTCTAGATTACACCTGTGTCAGCGTCAGCGCTCTACTATTGTGAAGATATGTTTTCCTTTTAAATTGTAGGAAATTTCAGGCTGATAAAAATGAAACAGATATTTGTGACATAACCTCAAAATAGAGCGTTGACACGGAGAAGCATAAAACTATGACAATCAAGGAGGCCATAAACGCGACCTACAATTGTAGGGACGACTGACGATACGGGCCTTAGACGGTGTATATGGGGAGCACAATAGATCCATATGGCTCGTAGTGCCGATTTTACTGTTGACCGACAGGAATCAAAATTTGCTCCTTTGGCACAAATTGGACCTACAAGAGGCGTCTGTGAAGTAATGGATCTAATGAGTTTCTGTTTACATATCACATGATTCAGCTACATAAAGTCAAAAAGGATTTGTGGGCTACTTGGAACATGGATCAAACCTGATACAAATGATTGACAAGGCGCCATTGCTGAGGATTTTATTTAAAATAACGTCTCACTGTTGCTGTTAATAAATTATTTTAAGACATAATCAAAGTGACACACAATTAGTCATTCACTTCTTGTGTCTATATGTAGTTATTATGGATTTTCTGAAAAACCTTTTTCGTTTATTCAAACCTACCTTGAAAATGTTCGCCTGAATCAACAGCACTCCACCGCACAAAAAATTTGTACTTTTGTACCACGGGGATTTGTGTTAGGACCCCTGTTATTTTCATTATATATCTCAAATTGAGAAACGGAGGTAAAATCATGCAGCATACAATTTTCTTGTCGACAATACTCAGATTCTCTATTCATTTAGGAGTAATGACTTGGAAACAGCTAATAATAAAATTAATCAGGATCTTGCCGAAATTGAAGTTTAGTAGTAGTCATAATCTTCGTTTGAAAAATATGCTGATATACGCAAATAAAACAAAAAGGAGTGCTTTAAAAAGGACATAAACTTAAATTTAAAAGGTAATAAAATAGTAGGTACCTGTGGATCATTCGAATAACCTAGGTATTATAATGGATGATGACTTAAAATTTGTTGAACATGTAAACCATCTAATTTCTCAGAGTTTTATATGCAAATAAGTTACATAAATCGGCGAGAAAGCAATTGTGCGAATCTTTCTTGTTTTCAAAAATATCAGTGCTTAGTGGTTTACAGACTTGTAAATGATCTATGATCACATATCGAAGGCCATTGATGACCTCAAATGGATGAAAATTGATAAAATGTATAAATAGCAGCTCCTAAGTCTGACTCATTGGGTTGTTTATCCGAAAACGTAGAGGAAATATGCATGACATTAATATTACATATACAGAGACCTTTTCAATTCCACGTTCCAGCACATTATCTACAATGCGATCAAATTGTATATTTCTTTAGAGAAAGAAAATACCTAGTGAAAGAAACTCTACTTGATCAGCAGCGAAATCTGTTGTGACCCATAAGTGGTAACTGACATTATTATGTTTTCTCTATGCCTTTACATTCATTATACTTCATTTTGTTGTCATTTTTTGGTATTAATTTTCAACAAATTTTCAGTTCATATATAACCCATGTTGTTGAGCGGGTTAGGTGGTAGAGTAGATATAGTATCTAAATCTGGCCTCTTGAAATATTATTACAAATAAAAAAGACGCTTATTATGATTATTATTATTATCCGTTAACAAACATCCAGTAAATAATCAATTTACTTACTGTTAACAGGAAAATGTCGCGCACCTTACTGAATGGATGACAACTACACGACCACGCTGCACCGCGGCGACGGCGGCAAGGCTAGAAGTAGTTATCCCACTGTTCAGTAGAGGGCGCGAGAACTCCCTGTTAACAGGGCTAGCTTAAGAAACGGTTTTTTCGCACGGTACTCAAGTAAATTGGATATTTAATCGATGCTCGTTAAAGAATAACCACTCTGCAATTTAATTTCTGTCTTCAAAGAATTTATCAAGCAAAATTTTGTATAGCAACAGTGAGACATTATTATTTTCAATAAAGTGCTTATTTGACTACTACCACATCAATCTAGATATCGTATCAGATTTGTGTCCATGCCCCGAGACTGGCGCAGATGCTGTGACACTTTATATGATCATAGCCGCTATTTTAGTGTGCGCACGCAAATAAAAAAATATGTATTTGTAGGTAAATCAAGTGACGCATTCCTTTCTTCAATATGGGAATTAGAAGCCCATCTTACAGAAACCGTATGATGTTTCTCTAGTTTGAGAGACCCTTTACGAGAAATCGACCATACGAGGGATTTCTTTAAAGTTTTGCATATAGAAACATAGTAGGCCGCGCGGATCGAACGTCAGTACTGAATCTTAACCTCACTCTTTAGTAAACTTAAATTCAAAGTTTCACGACAACACGTGCAGTGTTCTCACTACAGTGAATTTTTAAGTGTCACCAAGTCATTAGAAAAATGGAACTCTACCGAGAACATTTTCGCGCCATAATTTATTACAATTTTCAGAGACAAGAATGCCTTGCTGAGTTACTGTCTGTTTTCGGCAACGAAGCGCCACATCAGTCGACAATTTCCCGTTGGTATGGAGAAGTCAAACGTGGACGGGTGAATCTTAGCGACGATCCCAGGGTGGGTGCACCAAAAATGGCAGTCACCCAGGAAAACGTCGATGCTGTGCACAAACTCATCATTGAAGATAGACATGTGACATTTCGGGAGATTGAGGCGTCCTTGAAGATCTCAAAGACCTCAATTCTAAAAATTTTACATGAAGAGTTAGGAGTAAGAAAATTAGTTTTTCGTTGGATACCCCTGTTGACTGAAGAGCAGAAAGCAGCCAGGGTTAATTGGTGTCAAAAAACGCTTGACCGTTTCAATTCTGGAAACTCAAAAAATGTGTACAGCATTGCTAGTGGTGATGAATCGTGGATTTACTGTTATGAACCAGAAAATAAACGACAGTCGACTGTTTGGGTGTTAAAAGGTGAAGAAAAGCCAACAAAAGTCATCCGTTCTCGAAGTGTTTCGAAAAAGATGGTCGCGACATTTGTGTCAAAAGCGGGTCATATTGCAACAATTCGTCTTAATGAGCAAAGAACTGTTACTGTGAATTGGTATACCACCATTTGTTTGCCTAATAAACTGCCGAATTGGTTTTGGCCAGACCATGTTTCTTGATCCGACGGTCGATATTGACTATTCCTGTTCAAACTGTTTGCCAAATGAAACTTCACAGTTTAATTTGACCGGACTATATCTGTTAATCCACTAGTCAACATCAACTACTCCCTGATGGACAAACAAACTTGCGAATTTAATTTCACTGGACTAGATCCGTCAATCCGTCCGTGGACATCGGAACTGTTATCCAAGTAAGCCTGCGAAGTGAATTTCACCGGAGCATATACAGTAATGGGTCCGTCAACATCCCTTACTCGCGTTTAATAAACTATCGAAGTTAATTTCACCAGATTGTGTCCGTTAATCCGTCCGTTAATCCGCTCGACACTAGATGCTCTCT